TTGGAGAAACCTGTTACTCCCTCCGTTTCATTTTGTCTTAGTTTTGCGACAATGTCCTTTAGTGTAGATGAGACGAGTCATAGGACTTGGACACACGTTTAAGAGTTTATGGCCCAGTTTTGATGCCTGAAGCATTTTGGTTGCATTAGGGATGGAAATGAAACTTCTAAGATGAAGGAACTGGAACTGCATGTGGTGTTGGAATAGTAAGCTAGGTGATAGGAAAAATGGAGAGCATATTAGGCAATTGTCATGTCTACTTGTCCTATGGTCCAAGTCTCCAACATTTTGGAATGCATTCTTACTGCTGTCTCTCTTTATCTAAATCCCCCTTGGCATTTATAATTGTAGTGTGTTAGCTCTCTTTATTTCCTTGCTGCTTTCTTTTCTAATTTTTGTATGGTTTTATCAGGAGAGAGAGGTTAAGTTCTTCTCTGAAACAGAAGAAAACAACCAGATGAGAGGTCCCAGGACAGGAGTGCCCTATTTCTTATAAGTGGAACGTTCGCACTTTCTTCTGATGTTATTTCTGATTTCATGCGCCCCTCCTTATCGATGGAAAATTTAAGGAAACTGTCTACCTGGAGGGGACTGAATACGTCGTTTCACAAGATGGTGGTGCATGCCCTAGCTTGTCTGGGCGACCCTGCTGGCTCTGAATAGTTTGTGCTATGTATCTACAATGGCCTTGAATGTTGCTCCCATCTGTTCCATAATTATTTTTACCTGTGTCATATTGGTGATTTGTACCCTGACCAGATTACATTCTTTAGATTTCTTGCTTGCGTTTGGCTAGATGTACATTTTATTTTCTCGTCAACTTTAACTTGAAGATTATTGTTCATTTATAATTCAAGATCGGATAAAAGCTGGGTATATTATGGGGCTAATCAGTGTGATATTTCGTATAACTTAGAAATATGAGAAGTTGCAGCTACTGAGGACGTGTTTCCATAATCAAGTGGTTAAATGTGTTCGCTTCTTTCTTTTGCTTCTGAATAGGTACTTTATCCTTGAAGTAAGATAGTTGAACACCTTTGCAGTTGCATTATCCACAACCTAGTAACGCTGTTTGGAGAGACCTATTTGCATTATCTTAAGTTCTTTGATGTCGGTATTACCTGTATTTTTCAGTTTGGATTGAGATATGGTTAATTGGTATGTAAGGGACAATTTGCTGCCTATTTTTCTTTCTTATTCATTTCAGTCATTTTTCTTTTTTGGATAATCCACTAAGCTGTGTACAAGTTGCCCCCTAATCCGGATTGAACAGAATCAATCTATGCAAAGCTGCCTATCATTGCCTAGTTGTTTTAGCCATTTGCTAAACTCTTTTTTTGGGGCTTTGAATTTAATGCTTGGCAATGAGGTTCTGTTTCCTTGTAGAAGTACGTAGTATGTACTTCTAACGTGATCGTTGTTCTCTTTTCTGAAGTGAAGCCGTAAGAATTTATATCGCCCGCTATTCAATTATTAGAAAGCATAACATAGAAACTAATTATCAATTGCAAACTGATTCACGCTTTGATCAATTCTTTGCAAAATGGAGCGCTGTTTAAGTTGCATACTTGTAGATATGGATTTTTCATGGGTTGGTTTGGTTTGATTTTTATCTAGACCAATACTAAATTCGCTATCTCGGTTTGTTAAATATACAAATCCAACCAAAGCAATAAATTCAGTTTTTTGGTCTGTTTTTTTTTTCATGTGAAATACAAATTTAATTCATTCAATCTATTAGAGTTTAAGATACAATTTTTCATGTGTTGGTATATGTTTAGCAAGAAGAACAAATCGATTGACCTATTATCTATGGCAGCATCTATATGTGATTATCTTTTTATAAATATGGTCAAAAATAAATCTTTATTGTCTTTTATCGGCTTAAAAGAGAAGGAAAAATACATTAATAATACTAGTATAAGAACCCGCGCGATGCGCAGATAATTTGACAGAATATTAATCTTATAAAATTATGATCTAATATATCATATTAACTTAATAAATATTAGTTGTATTTTATTATTTAATATAGTGTATAAAAATATAACACAATATATACAAAATTAAAGGAGACACATCAAATAGTAATCAAATAAATTATTTGATCCTTTTTATTTTTATTATTGAATTAGCAAGTACTTAATACTAATGATAGTTTTCTTGAGTGTTATTTATTTATATTTTATTTTTTAACTAATTTAAAATATAAATATCATAAAATTATCTCTATCCCCCTCTTTCCGTACATACTAAATTATAATTTGAATTCATCAAAAGTATAAAGAGATGTGTGTGTGTGTGTGTGTGTATATATATATATATATATATATGTGCTTATCTTATGTATAACACCCTCATAGTATCTTTATATTTTTGTATTTATCATTTGAATTGAAAGTTTCTTTATTTTTCTATTTTTGTTTTTTATTTTAAAATAATTCTATAACTCCAACTTGAAACTACTCCACAATTTGAATGGATAATTTGTATTATATATTTTTATTTTTTTATTATAGCTAATTTTATATATATATATATATATATATATATATATATATATTAAATATTTATAAAACTTCAACTTGAAACTACTCCCCAACTTGATGGGTTATTTATTTTTCCCTTTTTATTATATATATTTTCATTTTTTTATTATATCCTATTTTTTTATTTTAAAATATTTGTAAAACTCCAACTTGAAAGTTGAAACTACTCCCCAATTTGAATGGGTAGTTTGTTTTTCCTTTTCCTTTTTATTTTTAATTTTTTATTATAGTTAATTATAAGATATCTTTATTTATTAATTTAAATAAAGTAACCAATTAATTCAAAATTTAAAATTCAAAGATTTTTAGTTAGAATAGAAGTAACCAAAACTATTCCCCAACTTGAATAGGTAGTTTTTTTAATAATATTTTCGTTTTTACTGTAGCTAATTTAAATTTTTCTTATTTTTTTAAATTTTAAAAATAATTTTAAAACTCCAACTTGAAACTACTCCCCAGTTTGAATGCCGCTTGAAAAATATTTTATCTTAACAACACCACTTGACCTTTTGTATTTTTATTTGAATTGAAAGTGTTTTTATTTTAAAATAATTTTAAAACTCCAACTTGAAACTACTCCCCAATTTGAATGGGTATTTCTTTTATTTATATATTTCCGTTTTTATTATAGCTAATTTTACATTTTTATTTGTTTTTTTTTATTTTAATATATTTTTAAAACTCCAACTGGAAACTGCTCCCCAATTTGAATGGGTATTTTTTTTATTTATATATCTCCATTTTTATTTTTTTTATTTTAATATATTTTTAAAACTCCAACTTGAAACTACTCCCCAATTTGAATGGGTAATTTTCTTTCGATTTTTATTATAGCTAATTATAATATATCTATATTTATTAATTCAAATAGAGTAACCAATTAATTCAAAATTTAAAATTCAAAAGATGTTTTAGTCAGAAAGGTAGTTTATTTTGTCTTAAAACTCCAGCTTGAAACTACTCCCAAATTTGAATTTGCAATTTTTTTTTTCAATTTCGTTTTTTATTTAAAATAATTTTAAAACACCAACTTTGTTGGAGCTTTATCCTAAAAATCTATTTCTTTATTTTCATTTATTATTTTAAAATAATTTAGAACTCCAACTTGAAACTATTCCCCAACTTGAATAGGTAGTTTTATTTTATTAATATTTTTGTTTTTTTATTGTAGATAATTTATTTTTTCTTATTTTTCATTTTTTAATTTTAAAATAACTTTAAAACCCCAACTTGAAACTACTTCCCAATTTGAATGAGTAGTTATTGTTTTTATATTTTCATTTTTTTAATATAGCTAATTATAAGATATCTATAATTATTAATTATTAATTCAAATAGAGTAACCAATTAATTCAAATTTTAAAAAGGTAGTTTATTTTGTCTTAATAATGCTACTTGGCTTTTTGTGGTTATGCCACTTGTCTTAATAATGTGTTTTTGCCTCTCCTTTTATTATATAATATTATATTATATTATATATAGATAGATATTTGAATTTGCAATTTTTTTATTTTTTTCAATTTCGTTTTTTATTTAAAATAATTTTAAAACACCAACTTTGTTTGAGCTTTATCCTAAAAATCTATTTCTTTATTTTTATTTATTTATTTTCGTTTTTTATTTTAAAATAATTTAAAACTCCAACTTGAAACTGGAGCTTTATCCTAAAAATCTATTTCTTTATTTTTATTTCTTTATTTTCGTTTTTTATTTTAAAATAATTTAAAACCCCAACTTGAAAATGGAGCTCTATCCTAAAAATCTATTTCTTTATTTTTATTTTCGTTTTTTATTTTAAAATAATTTAAAACTCCAACTTGAATATGTAGTTTTCTTTTATTAATATATTTGCTTTTTATATTGTAGATAATTTAATTTTTTCTTATTTTTCATTTTTTAATTTTAAAATAACTTTAAAACTCCAACTTGAAACTACTTCCCAATTTGAATGAGTAGTTATTGTTTTTAGATTTTCGTTGTTTTAATATAGCTAATTATAAGATATCTATAATTATTAATTATTAATTATTAATTCAAATAGAGTAACCAATTAATTTAAAATTTAAAAAGAATCTTTTAGTTAAAAAGGTATTTTATTTTGTCTTAGTAATGCCACTTGGCTTTTTGTTGTTATGCTACTTGTCTTAATAATGTGCTTTTGCCTCTCCTTTTATTATATATAGATAATTATTAATTCAAATAGAGTAACCAATTAATTTAAAATTTAAAAAAGTTTTTTTAGTTAAAAAGGTAGTTTATTTTGTCTTAATAATGCCACTTGGCTTTTTGTGGTTATGTCACTTGTCTTAATAATGTGTTTTTGCCTTTTCTTTTATTATATATGTAGATATAGATATGTAGATATGTAGATATGTAGATATAGATATATAGATGGATTCACAGTTTGAGAGGGAAATCCAAACTCTTTTTGGTCCTTGCTTCTTTCCTAGAGTAAACCAGCTAAATTAGCAAAATCGGAAAAGTTATTATCAGGGTTTGTTTGTACTATTGGACCAAATCCGGAGATATACATAGTGTAGGGACCAAAAGGTAAAATTTCAAGATCGTATTTGATACTGGATAAGTATATGAGGACCAAAATTAAAATTTCCCAATCTAATTTGAAAAACCAACTTGGTAGGCGAACCCAATTTTGAAATGAATCTTCTTCCGCCAAGTTTTTGACAGTTGACCACCACTTTCCCTCTCTCCCTCGGCTCTGAGAAAATTTGAGATGTAAGTTCTCCTTCCTCTTTGGTAATCTTTACTTGTTAACATCTTCTCTTGCTTGCTTTATTTTTGGCTCTATTTTGTGGGGTTGTGCTGATATGCCTTATGAGCATTAGTCATCAGTTTTCTGAAAATTTTCTTTTTTAGGAAAAGATTTTGAGTAAAAAACCATAAAAGGATGAAAATCTATCGTTACTGGGGAGTTGTAGGTCAATTATCTTCGACTCATTTTACCAAATCCTTCTAAGTTCCTCAGCAACTGTTTTCAGTTTCTAAGGCATGTAAAAGTGTGAACTTCTGGAAAATAATATTAGTTTAAAATGTCAAATATCTAAATCATTCTTTTCACATGGGCCGTTTAGTAAGAGTAGTATTAGACCACCCACTTGACAGTATACAACAACAACAGACCCAGTGAAGTTACACAACTGGGGTCTGGGTAAGGTAGTGTGTACGCAGATATACCTATCGAGCCTGTTTCCGATAGACCTTAGGCTCAAGAAAGATGGAAAGAAATAGTAGAAACAAGCAATATCAACAACAAGGGCCAGAAAGATAATAACAGCAAACTAATAGCCAGAAAATAGATGGAAGGAAGAAGTGGCAACAAACATGGACCACAGGACGATACTAAGAAACCGACGCAGAAGGTAATTGGAAAACAACATGTAAAATTAGCAATCTAAGAACAAGGAAAAAAAACTACCAGACAAACCTTAATACCCCCGGTACGGATCATAATTATGCTCGACTACCTACTAACTTTCGACCCTAATTCTCGACCTCCACACCCTCCTATGAAGGGCCATGTCCTGTCGGATCACCTCTCTCCAATACTTCCTTGGCCTTCCTCTACCTCTTCTCATACCCACCAAAGCCAACCGCTCACACCTCATTAGTGGGGTATCTGAGTTTCTCCTCTTTACATGTTCGAACCATCTAAACCTCGCTTTTCGCATCTTGTCCTCCATGGGAGCCACACGCACCTTTACCCGAATATCTTCATTCCTAATTTTATCCCACTTGGCATGCCCGTACATCCATCTCAGCATCCTCATTTCCATTACTTGACGGTATGTATCACTAAAAAAATTAATGTTATTTCACGAAGAGTATGAATTTCAGAGAATGGAGTGACCTAAGTACAAACGTGAGATGTTTCTTCATACCAATGAAAAAGGCAAAGCTTTGAATGAATTATTGATGAGATATATTTTTATGTTTTCTATTTATTGTATTGTGACAAATAGGGTACATGCATCATCTTCTTCTTAGTCAGTAAGAACAAATTGATCCTTAGGAGTGACATTGTGCCAGGAAAACTGGTAGGAAGTACTTTATATTTAATCTACTAGCAAGGACAAAGAAATGATAAACTTATTGTCTAATAATTCAAGCATAGGGTTAATTTGATCATTCTCTTTGCCAGACTGCCTTAGTTTAAACATGTTTTTGCTAATTACGAAAATTACTCATACAAGTGTATTGCATGATTTTCTCGTAAATTATTATGTTTTCAGAGAATTTGTATATCTCCATGCCAAGGCGTAGAGGAAAACCTCGTGCAAAACGTGAGGTTGAAAAGGATGCTAATCAAGAGGAACATCAAGTGGAAAAGGAAGATGATATATTCAAGCAGGAAGGTATCGTTTTTATTGTGCAAATGTTTGTCTGTTTAAACATTTGGAAGAAAAAGTATGTTGGTTATTTTTGAAAAAGGAAATTTTGTGAGAGGAGACAAGCCAAGGACAACAGCTGCAATTATTAATTGGGCTGCTGAAATCCTGAAGCAGTAAATATTACTTTGCTTGGTTGCAAGTCGTATGAAGCTATATTACAAAATACACATCTTTTATCCATTTTCGCCTATTATTTTGGTTGATTTTATCAAATAAGTACTCTGCGTGACTGATTGGTTCTGTTATTTCTTTTCCTGCAAGCTGAAGAAAGAGGTAAAATATATCAATTTGCTTGGTCTAATACCTTCCATTTATGTGATGCTTTTTGAACGTAAAAGAAGGTTATGAAAACTGAAGATGCATTTCATAAGAAAAGCTAAATGTAGAAGGAAAATATTTCTAGTCTGTGTTTGAGTTGGAATTTTTGAAGTGAGAGGAAAGTTGATAATCAAATGACATTCGAAAGAATGTAACTAAGAAGTACTTAAACATGGTTCTGTTTTGTGTCAGATGAATTTTGATTTTCACATTACCATCATGATTGAATCTCAGCGAGTATGTCATTCACCTTATTGTTACTGATGAATCACTATCTATTTTCAGCTGAACGTCAAAGTGCTGCTATCAGGGCTATTCGTGATGTGGAGATTGAACAGTTAAAAACTATGATGCAATTGCTACGATCAAATTTTAGTAATGAACAACTTCAAGTTCCAGTAATGCAATTTTTTGAGGAAAAGTTTCCAAACCTGGTTATTGTAAGGAAGGAGAAACATGGCCAGTCTGAAGTGCAATGGAAAGACGATGATGATAATTTAAGCATGGACCAGTTCGATGGAAAGAATCTACATGCTTCTCTTCTTCATAAACTGTCCACAGTGTATCCTGATTGCTCCAGTGCCATGCCATTATTTGGTGGATTTGAATTCTCAAATAGATCTGGTATCTTTAAATCTCTTTTTGGCAATTCTTATATGGAATATCTAGACACTCAAGTTTATTTCTTCTTACTTAATTCAACTACATTTTGGCAGTTAAAACAGCCCTTTGTGGTGCCGAAAATCTGCAGATCAAGGGATTTGTATGTTCTATTGCAGTTCATTCTACTATTTCCCGCAGTTTATGTCATTGTGCAATTCATTTTGCAATACCACATTTCGAGTAACTTAGGTTGCACTGGTGTTCCCTTTTTGGCTGCTGGCTAAACTCTTGCATTTAAGTTTTGGAAGTTGATGTGCCCTCAAGATGATTTCAACACTTGCTTATTCTTCTTTGTTCCTTATTTGCTATATTTTTTTTCTTCCTGTGAAGGTCTTGGAAGAGCCATCTGATACCCAAATGCTCGATCTGGCGGATACTATTCAGACACCTGGTGTATGTAGCTATAATATAATTTCTGTGCACTTTGTTGTTACACACTTGTTTGTGATATCTTTTTCTTTACTCACCGATTATAAAAACATCTAAATAATGGGATGTATGAAGCATTGTATTTCCTTCCTTTTTTATTTCTCTATCTGGATGACTGAACCTCTATGTCCTCTCTTGAGATATACCACTGAACTTCATCGTTATTTAGTTTATTATGCTTTAGGAACAATGTTATGAACTAGTGGCATTACTTATGTAAGTGTGTGATGGTTTAATGAAGTGACTTTAATGAAACTAATTTCATTCCAAAGTTGCATGCAGTTTTCTGTTGATGTCTTCATGAGTGTTTCGTGCTAGAGGCCATATTGATGCAGTTACATTTTTTTTTACTACAGGCATATAGTAGCAGATTGTCTGTTGGGATGACTCCCAAAACTTTAAGGCTGCCTAAGCCTGGAGAAATGCTTCTATCTGTCCACGGCTCTCCTCTTGGTGTTTACAAAGAAGACAACATGGAAGCAATACATGGTATGGGCCTATATGAGAGATGACTTTGGTCATTAGAAAGTTCATGTGGAAGTACTCTGTTTCACTTGCCAAATCTGCCTTTCTTTTTAATTATTCCGAGTATCAAATTTCCTGCTGTGACATATCTGGACTGCTTCATTGTATGTACTCGTGATTTTTGTTTTTTCCCTTTTCCCTAATAAAGTGTTACTTTGTGCTGCAGAGTCGGAAGATGGAGGAAATGACTCCGCGTAATCTTTGTAATGTCTGAAACTTTTCATCAAGACTGACCCGTGCTCTTAATGTTATTGAGAGTGTTCATAAAGCTCTTTGCCAGCCACCTTTTAACTTGTTCCATTTCTTTTTCTGTATTCTCTTTTCCCCTTCCCTTTGCTCGGCTAGAGGCTGGCAGGGTTCGTCTGACTACTTTCGGGAAGCTATGCAGCTGGAAAAGTGGTGCTCTTTGTACATAATTTTGTAAGAGCAGACAAGATCTTTAGATTATAGATGCTCAAGTTCTTTAATACTTTGTGTTTTTAGTGTTAGCTCTAGTTTATCTGCATGATTTCACTATCCTTATTTATAAATCTTTCTTGCAACCAGTCTTCCTTAGGTTGAACTATGAAAGATATAGGATGTACAAGTTGCAAAGCATGATTTAAGCAAGAAGAGGAGTTTAACTAGTTGGAACTTGATGAGGAACTTCTTAGACAGCAGGAAAAAGACATAACTAGGGCTGTCAAATTTGGCCCAAGACCAAATGACCCGCCCAAGGTTGGGTTGGTTATTAACCCGCCCATTTATTGAACTCAACCCATCTCATCCCATTTAAAGTTGGGTTGATTTTTAGCCCAAATTGATTCACGAATAACTTTGCCAAAATATCTTAGAAGTAATTTTTTTTTTTTGTTTGATATGTTACATATTACCATAACAAAAGAAAATAAGTCTTATTTAGTAATTAAACAATTCATAAGAAAACAATATATATTAACTAAAGATTGATAAGAGTTGGGCGGGTTGAATTATGATCTAAATTTTAGCTCATCTTGACACAATCCATTTTAGCCCAAGTAACTTTTGGACGGGTCAAATGACCCTCCCAATTATTAACTCAACCCGTTTTTACCCGCCCAAAATCGGCCCAATCCGCAGATTTGACACCCCTAGACATAACCAAAGATCCCTTATAAAAAAAAGTTAGGTCAACTATAGCAATGTCAACTTCCCCAGTCGATATTAACTGTCAGCATGCAAATAATTTCAACTACAAAAATAAGTTTATCAAAGTTAATCCGTACGCCTAACCCTTTTTCTGTGAATAGATGAATGTTCAAGTATGTAAGGACATTAGTATGTGTTTCGGATTTGATATAGTTCCATCTGAACGTGGCTGTCTAGCTTACTTGTAGGTAAACTAAAACTGAGAAGTTATATTCGTTATGGTTGATTCTCCACTTAAAATTCAGACGAGTCATTAATGCACTGAGAATAAAAAATTGTCAAAACTCATTATTTAGCTTACCTAACCTTGCTTCTCCATCTTAACATTTTTCTTGTTATTAGGTGAAATAGGCCCAGAATTTCCTACCTATATCTTCTCTTGGGATATTTGATTTAAGTAAACTTTAAAATAACAATAAAAAAAAAAGAGAAACAATTGGCATTCTAACTTATATATATAGCAGATATATCACAATACGTGAAAGAGGTTCTTACTTGTATAGACAGAGAAGTTTGTAATAAGTTGTTGATCTGAAACAATAGCGTACTGAGTTAGTAACAACAATGACAGAAAATCAGAGGATACATCCAGTTGTGGACATGGAAGCACCACCAGCAGCCCGTCCTGCAGTGCCACGAGGCTCATTTAAATCAGAAAAAGGCGATACATCGCAGCTTCAGCAGCCAATAATTAACCAGCCATTTACACGTACTGTTCCTGTAATGTATCCAAGACCACATAATAAGAAGAGAAGTTGCTTTTGCAAATGCATTTGCTGGACAATTAGCCTTATCATACTCCTACTCATCATAATTGCAACAATTGGTGGCATTCTTTACCTTGTTTTCAAACCAAAGATACCTCAGTACTCTGTAGATAACCTCAGAATATCAGACTTGAGGCTCAATTTTGACATGAGCCTATACGCTAGATTTAATGTAAGAATCACTGCTGTGAATCCCAACAAGAAAATTGGAATATACTATGAGAAAGGAAGTCGTTTGAGCGTGTGGTACAAGAATACACAGCTATGTGAAGGGTCTATTCCAAAGTTCTATCAAGGTCATCAGAATAGAACAGTACTCGACGTGGCCTTAACTGGGCAATCACAATATGGTAATACGTTGATGTCTGCAATTCAAGAGGCAGCACAAACTGGAAGAATACCATTAGATCTTAAGATTAAAGTCCCAGTTAGTGTTAAACTTGGGAAGCTCAAGTTGAGAAAGGTGAAGATATTAGGAGATTGCTTGCTAATTGTGGATAGCCTCTCTGCTAATAGTTTGGTCCGTATTAAGGCGAGTACTTGTAAGTTTGGGTTGAAGCTCTAAAAATTTCTGCATTGTATTCTACATATTTGTTCTTTACATAGATTTTTAGTTCTGTTATTTTGTATTTTATTATTTTTGGGATCTCTACACATGTCTGTGAGACGATTTTGTACATGGACATTAGGAGAATTCTATCACATTCATCTGCATACTATCATTTATGTTTGTTTCTCTATTATTCATATTCATAACCAAACACCGGATGTTGCTTAATACTTGGCTCGACGCAATTTATGTCAAAAAATCCCTCATTAGTGCTTAGGTTTTGCTCTTCCAGAGTAGATTAAGGATTGATGTTGTGCTCCTACTCAGAGGCGGACCTATGCTATACAGAAAAGGGTCCCGGCACCCGTAAAGTTCGGAAAAAAATCCATGTATATGTCTTTAGAAAATAGTGATATATTAGTAGTGGACACCTTATATACAAAACAGATTTTGATTGAATCTAAAAGTGCACTAGTGACCTTCAAATCCTGGGTCCGTCTTTGCTCCTACTTGACACTTTCGAGCAAAGAACTAAATGTAGATGGCAAATGATTAAGATAATTGAGGGCTCATATTATCTTGAGAAGCATCATAGCTAACAATAGCAGCTGCAATATACAAGGGATGAATTGCACAAAAGCCCATAAAACATCAACTAGTCTGATATATACAAGTGTAGTAGCTAAGCAAGTTTCACAATTTTTTTGTCCAAAGGAAGCGCCACGCTTGGGTATCTCAACCTCTCTTTTAACAGAAAATTATCAGATGACAAAATTCTAGGCTAAGTTTCACTAAGCCAATATGGAGCCTCGGGCTTGGGATCAAAATGTCAATGTCAAGCTGACTAATCACCAACCAAGGCTCGTGGTCGATGCTCTGTAGTAAACAGGGACATTCCTGTCTGTGTAGCAGCTCTAACAAATGCCATGTTTGCAGTTATAGTAGGGGCATGCCAGTAATCGCCGGTCCCAAAAACAACCTTGTTTTTTAAAGCCAGTTTTCTGGTTGTTGGAAGGCTCATCAGCCGTTCTGATGGGCAATCTGGCACAACCCTGTTTAAGTTAATCAAATGATTAGCATATGGAATTCAAGTTGCAAGTAAAAATGTAAAATGAAATTTAAGAAAAAAGAGAAGCGGAGAGGAAGAAAAAAATTCAAGTGCAAGTCTTGACAAGCTCATTAAATCTTCACATAAATCTATGCTCCGCACAAGTATGTGATATAATTTATGCCCGCAAATTAATATCCTTGCTATCTGGATAAACATGAAATTTGATCTGCTTATCCACATAGTTTTTCCACTAAATTGTGTATTTTCAAAGAATATTACCCCTTTCCTTAATTGAGGTACAAGTGTTACTAACTTACTAATGTATCATCGTGAGATTCAGGTCCGGAATTGTAACAGACTGATCAGAGGACTATTCCAGGAAATTCTATAATGGATGGACACCAATGATGTTTATCATGCAGAGGAGTAGCTAGCAAAATTTACCTAAAATTTGAACTCATATAGAAAGAAAAACAAAAATGTCAGATTGAAGGATGTCAAGTAATTCATATCTTTCTTCTTCTTTTTTTTAATTCTGGAGGTAAAAGGGGTGGGGATCCACAGAGCATGTACTATTGAATGTCAGAATTTTTGCAATAAAGTTGTAGGCAAAGAAAACTTGTTGTAAGAGACATACTGAAACTTATCAAAAATTCACCTAAGATGTTTCAGAAAGTGCTTGGCTCTAGACTTCTCATTCGGCCCACCACACATTGAAACAAGCTCCTGAAATTCTGAACAAACACTTTCACAAACTATGCCTCTCTTTTGCAATATTACAGGCATCAGCTCCTTGTGGATTGGATTTTCCATCTCAGAATTCACCTGGTGGAAGCCAAGTACAACATAAACCAAAAAATGTTGTTACAATGGTTGCCAAATGCAAAAGCACAGTGGTTAAGCTACTAATATATGAGTGTTCACGGTTCATATATTAAGGAGATTTCCTTAGGACAGAAAACAAAGAGGAAAAAAAAAGGGCAACCTAGTGCACTAAGCTCCCGCTATGCGCGGGGTTCGGGGAAGGGCCGGACCACAAGGGTCTTTCTGCAAGAGGCTGTTTCCACAACTCGAACCCGTGACCTCCTGGTCACATGGCAGCAACTTTACCAGTTATGCCAAGGCTCCCCTTCACAGAAAACAAAGACGACCTCAAATATAAGCAGTTGGTCATTTCCAACTCAGTATGGAGTTTAGTGCCTAACAATTGAATCATACTATTAACTCCCCCAAAATAAGGAATGCTAAAACTAGCAATTTGTTAAACTTATATTATTCCAGGTAGTATAAATATGTGAACAATCAATTGAAGTAGAAATATATTACAATCATATCCAATTTAAAATAGCTTAAATCTGCCAGTTTCTGCAAAATGTAACTTTAAAAAGACCTTTTGCTTCGTGATCAAATCTAGCTACTCGACCAATCCGATAGTACATTTTTGTGAGAACGCAAATAATTAAAAATGGCATGAGACATGGTAGAGATGCTCTAGGGTATGTTAGTTCTATAAAGGACTCAATTGGATATTAACAAAATCGAAATGAACAGAGAAATACTAAATAACCTCTCCAAACTTGAACAACAGAAGGGTTCCAAAACTTTTAACAAGAGATTTTACCTGTCCAATCATGAACTCATAATTGCCCTTGAACCGATTCCTCAACTCACTCTCTGGCGTAGCAAGAATCCGATCAATACCTCCATTGCTAATCCCTGACACTACAGCAACCAGTGTTGTCGTATCAAAATTAACCAATTCGGCTTCTTCAACATCAAAAGAGGACCAACTCCTCAATGCCGACACAAGAGCAATAAAAGAACCACCCAAATTTACATCATAGCTAACATCCTTAATATGCACCTTCTCTAAATTCCCAGATTGGTCTGTTAATGTTTGTCCATCTTTATTACTAGACGAAAAAGAACCAATCTTAATTTCTAAAACACATGCCTTTTCAAAAGACCTCCCTAGTACAGTTACCCAATCCCCATCCTCTAATTCGTCAACAAACTCACAATCAAAATCAGAAAATACAAACCCCAGATCAGTAGTAGCTCCAAATTCATCTTTCAGCTTCTCAAGAATGCAACTTTGAAGTCCATTTGAGAAGAAAAGTATAATAGAACAAGGCCTCACTGTAACACACGACTCTGAGGCAGCAAACAGGAGCTGACTAATTCTGTTTCTTAACCCTTTATTGTTCTTTGTTTTCTCTGAATCTTGCCAAGAAATGTACTTGGGATTTCTGTCGGATACTATGAACCAAACTGGGTTTCCATTGAAAGAACATATTATGTCGACATAAATGCTTTGCTGTGGAACTATGGATGAAATCGAAATGGGTTTACAGACCCGTGAAACGGATGTTATTAGTGGGTGTTGGAGAATGTGAACGACGGATTCGAGATATCCAATATTGGTGCTGAGTTTGAGAGGTGAGTTGTTAACGCGGTTAAGGAAAGAGAGCTCAGAGTTGATTAGCCTCAAAAGGGTAGTTTTCCACGAGGATTGAGTAGTAGTTGACAAGGTTGAAATTCGATGTTTGAGGGCTTTACATCTCCTCTTGGCTTCGCCGCTTTCCATTGTTCCGTTTGTCTTCGTGCTCGGTTTTCTCTTCCTTTTCTCAGAATCGACTCTATGCTATTTTTTCAGAAAATGATAGAACTAGTACTTTATGTTTGAGAGTTGGTTTAATATAGTCCTCTAAATCTACACCTTAACAATTTTAGTTTCTATGTTTACAGCACTTTCAAGATCTGTTATGCTTATGAATACAAGGAAAATGTGATAACTGTTATATTTATAACACATGACGGTAGTTATTTTTGACAAAAATTGACTCATGAAAAATATGATCATTTAAAAAAAATTCATCTCAATTCTCTACATGCTTCTCGCAATTTGTACCTTGAAAAAATCCATAGTTATAAGATTCTAATAATAAAAGATCTCGTCCCGCTCCCCTCCCCTTACTAGTAATAAAATTCAAAAATAAAATAATAAAGGCTATTATTGTTGAGAACTCGAATGAGATATAAATATTTATTTATTCGCAAGTTCATATAATTGATGGCAAATGAAGCGAATGGTGTATTTAAATGACTTGAGTATTAACATACAAATCGTGCAAAATGAATTCATAAAAAATTGTTCCGATATATTTCTCCAGTTTAAATAACTTATATGCTTTTCACAAGTCAATCTCGTCAAAGATAATCATGTTGTGTATTCTAATAATAATTGAGCCAAAAGTGCTTAATTTTTTTAGTAAACATAAATGACTAAAACTACTTAGATGCACATTTAACAGACCAATTTAAACCATTCCTCAAACATGAGTGGCCATTTTTGTTTTTTTCTCATATTTCTTTTAGGGACTTTTTCGTATATATACAAGATTTTAAACTTATTTACTCAGTTTTGTCTAAGTTTTCATATTTACAGGAAGTGACAAGAGTTTTTTACAAAATATATACAAATCCGGTCAAAATATACAATTTATCTACAACATAAGTACATATTTTTTGTATAGAATCCGGTCAAAAACTATAATTTACATAAAAATTATATACAACTTATATACAATTATGTAAGTTGTAGATATTTTGTATACCGTTTCTACATTCGACATACAAAATATATACAATTTGTTCGTGTCTTCTTTTTCGAGTTTCAATCTGAAATTTCAACCAAAACCATCTCGAATTTTTACCAAATTGTCTAAAATTTGAGATATAAACTCCAACGTATATTCTCAATCATTTGCAATAACACCCAATCCAAACAAAAAATAATTTCATAAAATTTCATTTTTAATGGGAAAATGGCTAAATATATCCTTGTACTTTCGAAAAATGCTTAAATATACCTTTCGTTATACTATGAGTCCAAATATACCCTTGCCGCTATACTTTGGGTTCAAATATATCCTCATTTAAATGCTGTGACACGTGTCATCGTTATTTTGACCAATTCTAAATATCTCTTAATTAATTAAAAAGACTCATACCCATTACCCATATCCGAAAAGTAATTTTTTTGTAAAATTTGGATAAACCTGAAATTATTTTTACTAAAAACTGAAAAAAACGAAAATATATATTTTTTCAGTTTTTATTAAAAAAAAAATGCTTTA